ATTTTTGGCGGGAAAATGAATAACTCCAGAACCAGGGAAGCTGGGAGGCTGAAACTTTCAGGAAATCCTCTCAACTCATCTACAACTTGAATTTTTCAAATTCAGCCCCCCCGTTATGCGTGGTGGCTACGCATGGCTCCACGAAATTTTTTAGCTGCAGTTTGGGTAACTCGGGAACTGAGAAAGCTGGGAACCTGGGATTTCATGGGAATGTTCCCTGTTCAACTATAGCGTGGATAATTAAGTCCTCGAAATTCTAGGAGCAGTATGTATAAGAGGCTTCTAGCTGACGGAATTTCGAGTAATCATATATTACAGCACGAAACACTGCAAAAACGCATGATCGCACTGGGCCCCCCAGTGCGCATTGCCAATGATTGAAAGGGGAGACCATCGACAGCATCGCTAACAAATCGCTACCGTTGCTACCTTATGCCACTTGGGCTTTTTCCGAGTGCTTCCATCTTTCAAAAACAACCATCCATAGAAGAGTCCTTTTAATTTGCGGTTTCAGTGCGGTGCATTTACCAACAAAGCAGCCAAAAACCTTTCCATAATTGTTGCGACCGACGTGTTATCACTACTGACCAATTTGCTGCTTCTTCTGACATTCTTTTGTCCCCCTCCCTATCTCTCGTTCTTTTGGTTAGAATTACTACTTACTCCACTCCTTCCATCGATATTCGGTCCATGTGCTCACTCCCTTGCCCTTCTTCATTGCTTCGTAATGGCTACGATCTGTAGCTTGTACTCGAATATGCTGAATTGAGCTGTTATTCGAAATCTGGCTCTCTAGTTTCCCATCCTACAGTGCTTCATCGCCTGATGGTTGTCCTACTATCGATCACAACGTTCTTTCCCCGGAGGTTTCAACATTTCTGCCATTTAGTAGAGTTTTAGCCGATGTCCATTTTAGCCGAGTTTTAGCCGATGTGCATTTAGTGGAGTTTTAGCCGATGTCCATCTAGTAGAGTTTTAGCCGATGTCCATTTTAGCTGAGTTTTAGCCGACGTCCATTTAGTGGAGTTTTAGTCGATGTCCATCTAGTAGATAGCCTCATCGCTTTGCTATCCTTAGACCTCGATGGAGTAACATATCGATTATTTGGTCTTTCGAGCAGCTATTTGTGAGGGAATTTCCGTTAGTATTTGGCCTCAGTATGTTCAGATTTTTTTCAAATTTATGCTAAATTTTTCAAGTAAATTAAATGAAGTTTTTTTTTCCAGGATCAATTTGATACGATCGATTTGACTGATAATGATATTCGTAAGCTGGAAAACATTCCACTGCTGAAACGCCTCAGCACACTGTTGATGCACAATAATCGTGTCCAGTAAGGCATTTCACAAAATTTGTTTTGGATTCTGTCTGAATTGGTAAAAAAGTAGTTGATAGGTTATGTTAGAAAATTGGTAAAAAATCTGGAAAAACGTCATCTTCATAATACCGAGTTGAGGAATCCGTCTGTAATTAACTTCACTGCTTCTGTGCTGAAGAGATAATCACATATGGATGCCAACGATGGTCAAGAACAATGGCGGAAGAGGGAACGCTAATTGCAACGAGGGTGGCAATACAGCAAAAGATGCTTGGAATGTCTCTTCGTGATCGTCTAAGTACTGTATCAGATGTGCGGAATTCAAAGTATTACTGCGATTGCGTAAAAAAAATAACTTTGCTGGCAACCGGCTGATGACTGGTACCTGCGAGAAGGCGAACGACCCTTCGGATGGCCATCGAAGAGGTGGCAAGCGGATCCGCAACCCAGGGCAATTGCTAAGGCTCGGCTCGGTTCGACCCCTACACGATCTGTGATTTGTTTCGCGGATGGTGTGTTGGGAAGGCGAGGGAAGGGGGAAGCTGCCGGGTGACGGGCGAGAGGTCGGAGGTACGGGGCCATCCACGTTGAAGGGCTTGGCATAACTGTGCGCAGCATCCCAGCAACATCACTAACATAATTGCTTGGACGGCTTTACTATGTGCATAAATGCATATTTATATTGTCGAGTTGAAGGTGAAGAAATATTAGTATGAAAGAAACCGTTTGACAATTTGACAAAGTCGAGCCACTGCCAGATGATGTATAGATGGCGGTGTGTGTGTGTGTGTTTGTGTGTGTGTGTGTGTATGTGTATGTGTGTAGCTGGCCATAGTTCAGCTTAAATAAACTACATAAAAAAGAGCACATTTCAATTATAGATAGTGATGGATTTTTTGTTAGATATTCGAAATGCAACGATTCCCTAAGGTCAATATTTCAGACAAATTATGCCGAATATTGGTGAAGTTCTGCCCTCATTGAAAACTTTGGCATTGACGAACAATAATTTGTGTGAATTAGGCGATATCGATCCACTCTCAACTTGCCCAAAACTGGAATATTTGACGTATGTTGTTCTTTTATGAGTTTTTTGCAGCTGTGCAATGCAGAAAACGCATACCGATGAGGGGTGTTCTGTGTGTGGTGTGTGTGTGTGTGTGTGTGTGTGTGTGTGTGTGTGTTTGTGTGTCAGCTGAGCATTTGTATCGACTTTTAATCTCGAGACTTGCAAGAGCTACAGGGCTGGCTTAATCTACATGCACGCACGGGTCCCTTCCCCAGAATGGGCGGCCTTACTCGCGTGGTATTCACGTGCGGGCCCGTGGAAGTTTTTTGTGGGTGAGTCGCTAACTCGGGAACCAGAAAAGCTAGAAAGCTGAAATTTTAAAGGGATTTTCCCCATCCACGCAAGTTTTAATGAGCTTCAAACCAGTCTCCGCGCACATATGGTAGCCACCTACAGGCGTGCCAATGTTTTTTCGGGTAAGTTGCGAACTCGAGAGCATGAAAAGCTAGAGAACTGGATTTTTAAAAGGATCTTTCCTGACAGTTCTGGTGGCCAGTCTTAATTTGTTTAGCTAGAAGCATTTGCAGGAAAAATTAGTGCCGGTAGCGACATAAACTGCGAGAAACTATGCAAAAAATGCATCTTCGCACCGGCAGCCGGTGCGTTGGCTAATTATTCTTTTTCGAATTTTGGAAATTTCTCATAGCTTTTATACCGTGTGACATTACCATGGTAGCGTGAGTTATGATGAAACCTAACATGCACTTACATTCGAAGGAGTTTTATGCCAGGCCATAGTTCTTGATTTTGTGCCTACGCTTGGTACATGCACTTACTAAATACTCATCAGCGAGTATCAGAATGATCGTTTTCTCTAATGAACCAGTCGTTGAGGTGATCAGGCGCTCGGGGGTTGATAACCGAGAAAAATAGCAAATTTTCTGGAATGTTTTTTGATGTAAACTTCGAACCGTTAATTCTTGAAATCACTCCGTTGATCGGTAGTTATTATTTTCAGTCTGATTGGAAATCCGCTGACACACAAACCGCACTACCGACTGTATGTGATATACAAGGTCCCGTCGGTTCGCGTTTTGGATTTCAAACGAATTCGACTTGTGGTAAGCTAGTTCCACCAGTTTTTTTTTTTTTATTTTGATTCACAGGAACACATTGTCGGCTGTTACTAAACTCTGCAGTCTCATATATCTCTGTTTTTTAGTAGTAGCCACATGCCGTGGGGTGTTTTTCCGGTTTCCTTTATTGGCAAATAAATTTATTTTTCTAGTCAGCACTTTTTTCTTCACGGTATGATGCATGACCCCCGCACTGGCTGGAGACAAGACAGTGATCTTTATGTTTTGCCCTCTTGTGACCTGTTTTGTGTTCAGTAGAGTGAGGAAGATTAGGGGACGGTCATTACGCCTTCCCAAGTGCACAATGTGGGCACCATGCCTAGCCGTTTCCGCCCTGTCAATTGCTCCCCGACGGCCGCGTGCGCCGTCCTCGCGCCGCTGTTTCCTTTTATGATTGTTTGTCATATTTTTTTGGCACTGTAGTTAAATCTTTATTCACAAGCTGTACGCGGATAGACGCAACAGTGGTAGACAATTATCATTTTCCTCTCTTTTTACCTCTATTTGGTGTTAATTTTTATTTTAATGCTTTTTTAATTGCTTCTTGTTGGCCTGTGTTATCCATCACAGCATTTGGCCAGTACTTAACTTTATTATATATTTAAGAGGTTAATATTCAAATTAATGTAAAACTGCTCGGACTGTCGGTGTGAGGATTCAGTATTGGTATGTTATTGGGATTCTGTGTCAAATACCAGGCGCAACTGTGCCAGACTTTTCGATTTTCAAACAAATAGCAATAACGTCTGAGCAAAACTTTGTTAAGAATTGTCTTTTTGCAGGAAAGAAAGCAAGCGGACAATTTGTTCAAGGGCAAAAAGGGCGAAAAATTGCGAGAATCAGTTGTTAAAAGATCAAAGACTGTGCCAGAAGATGAGGACGAGGGACCGAGGAATTTACGCGCCGGAGATGTTCGGAAAATTGAGGTAATTTTTCGTTGTTTTTTCGTGAAGAGTTTGTGTACCAGCGAATTTTGTTTATTCTTTGTCGTTGTTGAATATTTGATTTATCATCTTATCGACATCAGGAAAAAAACAAAAAAAAATTCAGGGAAGAATATTCAAAAAATTGGCATGCATCCTTAGCTGGACTATTGACTGACAATTTGAAACTCAGGACTGAACAAGCGTAGCATAGATGTGCCCGGCGTACCAGTTCATCTCTGTAGCATCGGATTCTCACATGAACAATTCTGAGTGCCAACGGAATCCTAATTTCTCCGTAAAATGCTGGCGGATTTGCTGGCTAATAGCGGATAGCGGCAAAGGTTGAGCAGTCGGTTCATCTCCAATAGGACAGTCAATCTTTCTGTGTTTCATACATTAGTTAATATAGTTAATTAGTATTGGCACTCGTCATAAAGTAAAGTCAAAAACGGCGTCGGCATGCTTTTAAACAAACCTGGGGAGGGGTGTTATTGTGACAGAGTTTGGCTGCTCTTGAGGCATACTACTAGTTAGGCGACTTCCAGATCTCTTACCCTCACATTAGGGACTGAATAAAAAGAGATTGATCGCCGGCTGTGGTGAACCAAGCCCTTTCTCCAAAAATTTTTCTGGACCGGGAGGGAGTCGAACCACTTCTGTTCACGTCCGAACACAATGTATTGCCACTGCACCACTGGTCCTTGTGTTCCAAGTTCAGCCTGGCATCACGTCTACTGTGTATCTGCCTTTCAAAACAACATGCACCTTTTTTTCTGTTTTTCTTTGTGGCGGCTTCTTGGCCGCCTTTTTGCGTGTTTTCCGAGACAACGATCTGTGATATTAAAAATTTGGTATTTCATCCCAGCCGCAGTTTTTATATCGAGTAACTGTGGATGGAGACGTTGAGAGGTCTGAAAGAATGAATGCATTCCGTCGCTTTTGTGTGTCTCAAGTGGATTTACAACATAGTATTTAGTGGTTGGCCATTATCGTAGAAGATTTTGATGACCAGATTTTTTGTTAAAATGTGTCTACTGAATATGTTTAAGGCAGCAATTGCTTCGGCATCAAGTTTGGCAGAAGTTGAGCGACTGCAGACAATTCTACAAAGTGGACGAATTCCGGAAAGCGGTTGGAATCGAGCAGGTGGTGATAAAAGTGCTGAAAATGGAAAGGAAAATGGGTAAGTTGATAGTACACTAGCATTTTTACGAATTATTTGTTTCTGTCTAGCGAAATTCCTCAGTTTGGTTCCACACCGTGGTTTAGGAGTGATACTTCCGGGACAAAGTGCTAATAGTCAGCATATGCTGTATGAACACACAGGAATAAGTAAAGCGGTCCTGAATGTTTCTGTCGAAAGAACCGTTGAGCTGAGATTTCCTTCAGCAAACAACAGGGACTTCAGGATTGCTAGCAGACTAAGGATCGAATGATACACTATTAAGAGCAACTTGAAGAATTGGTGATTCTATAGCTGGAAAAATTTGGGGCTACAGGTTAAAAGCTGGCTCAGTGTAGCATATAATGTTTAATTTTTTTGTTCCCCGAAGCACTGATTCCGATTTATCGCCAGAGCACCGGCTCAGCAGTTCTTTAATTCTTCGTAATGGTTCGCTGGTTCTGTCTGACGTTAGAGAACTAGAACCGCCTGCTTTTGAACAACCACTGGAAGTCATTGGCGTTTTGATTGCCTTGGAGTTGGCCCTCTTTTTGATTCTTTTTCGAGCACTCTCTGGAGGACGCATTTGCATATTTCTTAATTGAGATATAATTTTCAAACATGAAATTTGTACGTCATAAATTCCGGTTTTTTTTTTCTCGGCGTTAAATTTTTGCGTCGTTCTAATCAATTCAAATGACATTTGGCTGTTTCTTTTCGTTTTTTTTTTTTTTTTTTCTTTTCAAATGCTTTTCTGCCTTATTTAAACGATTTTAGCATCTCTTGGAACAGAGCTGAGGTTTTCCTCATTCTTTTTGAACGTCACATTGTTTGCTAAGGATAATTTGTCAATCTCACACTAAATGTTAAATTTATTATTAATGGACTTTATGCTGCATAACTATAGGAATGACAAAGAAAATGGATTTGTTGCGGAAGAAGAAGATGCTGATGATGATGATGATGATGGTGTTCGTTCGCCAGCAGCCAGTCCGCCACCAGATGTTGGAGGGAATGATGACGGTGATGAAGATGTTCAATCGCCGCCAACAAGTCCTTCAGAGGTATGCATTTCAAAGCACAGTGACGTGCTTTCACTCCTTCATGAAGCTTGTGACAGAAATTTTAAAAATGCAACCAGTGAATATCTCTGGCTAGGGGATTGAAAGAGGACAGGGGCCTGAAGTCTTCTGTGCGTTAATATACGCAGTTTATTTGGCGCTGTTGGCCCATTGTGGAGTGGAACACAGTAGAATTTTTACAATTTGGAAGTGCGATTTAGATCCTCCAGATAAGAAAGCCTGTATGTGTTCTGAGCTGGTATCCTGTTTGTGTTTAATTCTTGAGATGCAAACACATACGGTAGAATAGATGTGCAATGGGGTGGGAATCATCAAGACAGTGTCCCATTCCGTCATTTTAAAAGAAACTTGTGGATTACTGAAGCAAGATGAAGAAGGACGGAAGAGAAATAAAGGTGAAGGTACAGAAAAAGTGTGGTTATCTGAGTCTAGGTATCGCGTATGTCAGTAGATCGAACTACCCTGGAAGGTGTCGGGCCAGACTAAAGTAGGACAGCTTTTATTACACAAGACACCAGTTACAGGCTCACGAGCTTAGGATTAGGTGGATCGCAGAAGAACCGAAGTAGAGCACAGACGAAGCGTGTCAGCCGGCACTGTCGTAAGCAGGTGAACGCGCACCCCTAACATCGGATCCTCGAGCTTATATGCCGCTCTTCCTGCAAGTAATATCATGAACAATCTCCGACAACGGGGATTGAGAATGTTCCGCATGGGAATGAAAGACGGGATTTGACCATCGTAGATCTCATCTACGG